CTTCATGAGGAGTACCGAACGGCGCGGGAAAACTCTGAAGACTGGCCATTAGCCGCGCCAAAGAGGAAAAAAGACAGGAGATGCCTGGAGGGTCTTAATCGTGACCCCTGGGGTCGCCCTTACCGCGCGGTGCGACAAAAGCTCCGCGCGTCGAAGGCATCCCACACCCTTACCGGAGACTCTCCAGCCCAGCTTCCTGCGAGAAGTGGCTTGAGGGCCCTTTTCCCACCAACGGGCGGAACACACTCCCACCCGTCGATGGACCTCCCCTGGCCGGAGACGACGGGGAGCACCGGGGAGGACAATGTTTCCGCCCGTTACGGGATTCGGACAGGAGGGGCGGCTGTTCTAACGGATCCGTTCCAAGAACACCGCCCCTGGGCCAGACGGGGTACCGGCCCGAAGTGCTTGGCCCTGGCCCTCAACCGACTTAGGCAGACCCGCCTCGGGGAGGTGTTCGACGCTAGCTTGGCGTCGGGACGCTTCCCTGAGTGCTGGAAGAGCGGGAAGCTGGTCCTTATTGAGGAAGCCGGGACGGCCTGCCGATTCGGGTCGCGGCCTATAGGCCCATCGTGCTGCTGGACGAGGCGGGCAAATTGTTTGAGAGGGTTCTTTCTGCCCGCATCGTCCGGCACCTTTGCGAGGTGGGCCCCGATCTGTCGGACGCCCAATTTGGTTTTCGGGCGGGCGTTCGACAGTCGACGCTGTGTTACGCCTGAGGGCCGTGACCGAAGAGGCTGTGAGCTGTGGCGGCGTGCTGTTGGCGGTGTCATTGGACATCGCCAACGCATTCAATAGTCTGCCATTCAGCTGCATCAGGGAAGCACTCCACTATCATGGGGTGCCAAAGTACCTGAGGCGGCTGGTGGCAGACCTATTTAGAGGAGCGTACCGTCGTGTACGAGGACCGAGAAGGTAATCTGAGGTGTCGGCCCAATGTCGTGCGGTGTTCCACAGGGGTCCTTGTTCTTGGAACCCCCTCCTCTGTGGAACATAGGGTACGACTGGGCCCCTTCGCGCCGATTTCCTCCCCCGGGGCTGGGATCTAATCTGTACGCAGGACGATACCCTCGTGGACAGCCCGGGGGGCCAAACTTCCAAGAGGCGGCGCGCCTTGCCACAGGGGGAGTCTCCCTGGTGGTCGGGCGCATTGAGGCGCTGGGCTTACGGGTGGCCCTAGATAAAGACGGAGGCCCTGCTATTCCATGGGCCCCCGTCGTGGTCCCCACCCCTGGCGCCTCCATCGTGGTCAACTCGGTCCTCGTACCAGGTTCGGGCCCAGATGAAATATCTGGGCCTGATCCTCGACGGGAGGTGGCTCTTCGACGAGCACTTCCGACAGCTTGCTCCAAAGCTGGTCGGCGCTGCGTCTGCCCTAGGGCGACTCTTGCCCAAATATGGGTGGGACCCCAGCGTCGCGACAAGACGGCTGTACACGGGGGTTGTCCGGTCAATGGCACTGTACGGTGCACCGGTGTGGGCGGCGGCTCTGACCGCCCAGAATAGGGTACGCCTCCTGGCGCGATCAGAGGGTAATGGCGGTCAGAGCCATACGCGGTTACCGCACCGTTTCGACGGAGGTGGCATGCGCATTGGCCGGAACTCCCCCGTGGGATTTGGAGGCGGAAGTTGCTCGCCGAAGTTTATCCGGCGAGTGGCTGACTTCCGGGCGGAGAGCGGTATTTCGCCCCTCCGCCCGAGGATGTGCGCGGAGTTGGCGCGAAGCCGCTCGCCGAGCCACGATGGCTCGTTGGTCGTTCCGGCTGGAGGACTCCACGCGCTGGCTTCGCCGCCGTGGAGGCTCTCCAGCCGGTCATCGCCGAGTGGGCAGGGCGGCAGCACGGGACCCTTTCCTTCCGACTGACGCAGGTGCTTTCCGGGCACGGTTGCTTCGGAAGGTACCTGCACACGGTCGCTAGGAGGGAACTGAGTCCCGCCTGCCACCACTGCGACTGCAGTGAGGACTCGGCCCAGCACACGCTGGCGGTCTGCCCCGCATGGGCGGCGCAGCGTCGGGCCCTCACTGCAGTCATCGGAGTGGATCTCTCGCTACCGGCCGTAGTACGCTCCATGGCCGGTAGCGACAGTTGTTTTACCGCGGTCGCAACCTTCTGCGAGGTAGTAATCTCGCGGAAGGAGGCGGCGGAGAGGGCCCGGGAGGACGACCTCCACTCGGACCCGATCCGCCGCCGGCGAACCGGGCGGCGGCGGCCCGCCTACCACAGCCTCATGCCGCCCTGAGTGTGGCCGCGGGTGGACGGGGTGGGTTTCCCCTCCACCCGCATTAGTTTGGCCAGCCGCGAGGGGGCGGCGTCCGCGTGTGCCGGACGTCGCCTAAAAAGAGGAAAAATACACTTGAGACGGAGCCCGCCACCAGGAGCGGGCTGGCGCTAGGAGGGGTCCGGATGTCTTAACAACAGCTGTTCCCGGATCCCTCCTGTTACAGGCGCAGAGTGGCACACCGTGTGGTTTTAGTCGGTCCGAGTCCGACACACCACCCCGCCGCAAACCCCGGAGGGGTGACGGTCCGAGGGGATTTCCACACGTTAAAAAAAAAAAAAAAAAAAAAGGGTTTGTCTCAAGTTTTCCTTATCTTTGCAGTGCTGTTGTCTTGCGGAGTTTTCTCCCTTAGTCGACTTTTACGACACCAACGGAATGAGTAGGGGAGTGACATTACGTATTCTTAATCCGTCACCACACGGATGGTGTGTAATGACCCTTTAATTCATTCTGGGAACACTATGTAAACAGTATGGAAACTTTTTGTAATCATGTTGATTCCAGAATGTCAACATGTATTTGCAGTTTTACTCTGGTTTCAGTATGAATGCACTATGAATACAATATGTAATCAAGCGAGAAACAGTCTGTTTTCAAAATCTATTCACCATGGTTTCAACACATCCGCTTTGGATACATTTTGGTATCAGGATGTATCCTAAGTTGGCACCATGGGCAAATGTAACAAACACACTCTGGAATTAGCATGGTAACAGAATGAAACCATTCCCGCTGTTTCCAGAGCGAGGGACACGCCTACACTAGTAAACAGATTTTAAAAATTCTTTTACCAATGGTCACCAAACTACATTATCAACAAGTAATATAGACTACATTTTATCGCGGTAACCTAAAGAGAGGCTTATGTCCAGCAGTGGACTGTTATAGGCTGTTGATGAACCGACATACACGCGGGCGGAATCGCAGGCCAAAACTAGTATATTAATAATCTACCACATTTACACAACGCCACCTAGTCCCAATCTAAGTAGAGCTTGTACTATGGGTACTAGATAACTGATATAAATACATATTTTTTTTTTTTAAGTACATACATATTATACATAGAAAAATCCAGACCAAATCAAACATTAAATGTTCATGCACACAAATGTTTGACTTGAGTGGGAATCGAACCCGCGACCTTTAGAATCACTATGCCATCCGGCTGTCAAGTATATAATAAATGCTCGGATCCGTATAAGTCACGGTCACTTCAGATGGTGTATCCAGGTACAGATATGGTGGACCTGATTTTGTAAACCTGTGGGTACATGACAAGTCTTCACTTTGTTGTCTTAGGCCATACCGTCTTTGTAAAGAAATAACTTAGTAAAGTCATTATCATCAACAACCACTACTACTAGTTCACTGCTGGAGGCCTAGACTGGCCAGACGGGTTGGTATAGGGTTTGTTTCAAGTTTTCCTACTCTTTGCAGTACTGTCGTCCTGAGTAGTTTGCTCCCTTAGTCGGCTCTTACGACACCCACGGGATAAATAGGGGTGGTGACACTCGGTACTCTTAATTCGTCACCAAACGGTGTTTAATGCGTTGAATGAATCAAAATCAAGTTGTGATATTTCTATTCACTGGCCAGGTATGGGCGATAATCAACGGTAAATATTCAGACCTAAATAAAAACATTTTGTTCTTTATGAAGGTTTATATATATATATATATAAGGTATATTATTGAGGATCTTCAAAATAAACCATAAATTGTTTCTCTGAAAATACAAAGTTCTGTTTTATTTAATACGCCTTTACAATATTACAACAATTATTAAGTTATGACAATTACACTTCTATCTCACCTGAAAATACAAAGAAACGACATTTAAAGTTCACTAATATCGCTTCCTCAATCGTATCCTTCGGTTTGTCTCTCTACAAGTTTTTATAACAATAAAATGCACAAAATACTCTAAGCGTCATCCGCCATTGAATCATAGTTCACATGTCACTTCGATGCGCGAAATTCAAATTAATGAAATGTCATTCATTTCATTACACATATATATATATATAATTTTAAGTGACTACTACTGCAGTCCGTGTGGTGGCGTATTGTCATCACACGGATCAGTTAGTACGTGGGGCATACTGAAAGTTTCTGGATCTGGCCACTTACAATAAAATAATGAAAAAACTATGAAATTGGAAAATGAAAGTCTTTGGGAACATGTTACTTTTTAATTTGCGAGACTTTCATTTGTTTTTTCATTGTGACGTCCTTTCGAAAATTGCGTGTAGCTATCAAAATGAATTTAACTCGTAAACATTTTCGTTCAATGATTTTTTATAATTTTCGTTGTGGCTCAACTCAACGAGAGAGTTGACCGAGACTTCAATTTTCATTTTGTGATGAAGCGCCATATTGCAGCTCTATGTATTCGTGGTTCGGAGAATTCAGACGTGGACGTGATCATCTCCATGACGAGGTACATGAAGGTCGACCGGCGACTGCGGTTATAATCTCTAATATTGACACCGTTGTCGTATGACAACTTATTGATACTGACAAGAAAATTACGTGCCATCCTGCGATTTGTTGCGCTAGCTTAAGTCTAATAACCATATCGGTTAGACCGAGTCAACTAACTTAATCGACCAGACCGTCACCATGTTCCTATTTGTTGCGTTGGCTCCAGTCTAGTACTAACTCTATCTGTTAGATTAATCAACTAACTCTATGCTGGCTGGACCGAGTAAAGTAACTCTACCGGCTTGAACGTCGCCATCGTTCATTTTGTTCAAGTCTACCAACTCTGTTGACTAGGTCGTTTATTTTAGCTTCTAACTCGGCAATTTTCTTATCTTTTTTGTCATTTTCCTTTCGCAAAGCTTTCACCTGCTCAGACAGTTCAGACGCATGAGAGCCATGTCTTGCAGACGCCAACTGCATCGTGGAATTCGGTAGCATATTATGCTTTTGATAAAAGTCTGATTCCTTAAACTCTTCTAGCTCATCTTTCGTCAAGAGATAAGTGACCAGTTTATCTGGATCATTCGCTGTGATACTGGCCAGCACAATCTTTAGTTTACCAACATAGCTCTGCTGAACGGTTTCCTTCAATCCTTCGATTAAATTCTGACTACTATTCCAGAAAAATGCAATATTCTTATTCTCTATAGCGGAACACAATTCTCCCACCATCGTTGAGAAAAGAACACTAACTTTGGAGTTCCAATATGTTTCATTGTTTTCCTTTTCGTAAACTTTCCACAGGAATAAAGTTTTTATGTAGTAGCTGGCGATATCTGTCATTTCGAGAGCGTCTCGCAATTTTTTTACCTAAAATGGAAGAAACGAACAGGAATATTAATACCTGAAATATGATACAGTATTATTATAAACTACGTACCTAACATCAATCACACACTCTGTCTAATTACTTGACGGGCTTGTTGGTCTAGTGGTTAGTCGTGGGTTCGATTCCCACCGAGGACAAATATTGTGTGATGAGCACGATCAATTTGTTCTGTGGGTGTAATTTATCTAGGTATAATATGCAAAAATATTTAGATGTGTTTATTAGCAGTCTATTTAGATGTGTTTATTAGCAGTCAGTAGCACAAGCTCTGCCTTGTTTGGGATCAGGCGGCCGTGTGTGAGATGTGTGAAGTTATTATTATTTACTCTAAGGATAAGCCGTTTTATGCCTGACAGCCTGTGCGAGACAGTAAAGTATATTTTACCAATCTAACAATTAAGGACACACAACTAAGGATATTTTACCAATCTAAAAGTGGTCTTCATAGACTTGCAGTCTTTGATAATTTCCCTTTCCTGTTCGTGGAAGGAGAGGCGCCAGCAACGGCTCTTCAACGTTTCACTCATTGTTTTATTTGGTTTTGGTACAACCAACCAATTTTTAGACTTGAATTGCATTCCTGTAATCGACCTAAAAGAAAACAGATATTTAGTATCGTATACATTTGTGGCAATTCCCACGCAACATTCGGTAATCTTTTTATTTCATGAATAAAGTTAAGTAGGTAAAGATAAAACAAATTCAATCAAATATAATAAAAGACTGATATTGGTTAAGAAAAACTAAATCCAAAATATATGTTTGTTTGTTATGCTTTTACGCCTGAATTACTAAACGGATTTTTAAAATTCTAGCACTAATGGAAAGCTACATCTTCAGCGATAACCGACATACACGCGACCAGACCAGACCAGACCATACCCGGGTAAAAGCTAGTATAAATATAAAGGACCTGTAACCATCCGGTGCTCGCGGGAACATAAACTTGATGACGGGCACGATGTCCACATCTAGTTTAAACTGTTCGTTGCCTTTGACATTTCTAACTTTCAACGTGTACGCCGGTCCACCCTCTCTGTAACTCAGCAAGTAGACAACGCCATTTACCGTTACTTCACCCCCCATTGCGTTTAGCGCCCTCTGTATAATACCATGCACCCAACTCCGAAATTTACTCTGTAGGAAGTAATTCTCAGAGTCTGTCCATTCTCTCATCACTTTGTAACAGCTCTCCCATTCCTTCTGATTTTTTAAACTATCAAATGCATTTGTGATCTTTAGTTTGACGTAGCCGGGCTGTTCATTTTCAATGATGATGCCATTTTCTCCGTCCTCATAGTTGATTGGAAGACGAATCACAATATCCATATCGAATTCGTCCATTTTGGTTATCTTGCAGCCATCGTAAACGCTGCCAGCGTAAATCACCTGAAATAGATTACACTGTAGTTCTTGTTTCATTATATAATCTAACCTAATTAACTTGCATCCAGCCTATAATCCTTCCTAAGGTGAGGCTTATTATGTCCAGCAGTGGACTCTTAAAGGCTGTTGATGAATCAATACCTACGAATAATAAATTTCAGTTGGCATTTAAGAATAAAAAGCTGAGAGTTCAACGGGGGAAGGAAGGACATCAGGGCATTCAAAGTTGATTCTTTCTACAACTTCAATTCTCAAACTGCACAGAGTGCGGTTTCCACTCTCCTCGCACACATCACCTCTTGAGATTACAGAGGATTATCTTCCAGATGCTCGAGTAACATCAAATTAAAAATGTTTATCATATAGGGGTAGTGTCCCTGATAATTTTATTACTAGCGGTCAGAGTAGACTTTCATATAGCTGGAAACTTTTAAATATAATTTGTTATAAAATATGTACCTCTCTGCTACATTTTTCGAAACAGTTACATTGCTTACACATTTGCTGTTTGACTGCTCTAAAAACACTCATGAACACTTTTTGCGATCGCTTGACGTCATCATTTTTTACAGACACGAACTGTTTGAAAACCTCGTTTAAATACGCGTCTTTTTTGGAGCTTTTCCTTTTTGGGGCCATGGTCCACTCAGTATCTGAAACAAAATTAGAATTGGTATCATCAATATTGACGTGGCCAATTTTGAACTTTTGATTGCATAATTATAATAAAGGTAGCGCTGATGCTTTACTTCCTTTTTTAATGTAATAGTTAGCAACTTTTGCAGCAAGTAACTACGTGACACGCTACTTCAATTTATATTTATCCAGGAATCAACGTGTCGCTTTATGTGTCCTTGATTCCTGATCTGATTATTTAAAAAATTCTATAAACTGAATCTATAGTTGATGATCGAGCGTTCGATCGAATTTTGTAGTATACTCTTCAGTGGGAAATATGGTACATACTTAACGTCGGTCATAGTGACGGCTTACATTTTTTTTTCTTTTATAAAGAGACAACGCCCGCATTAGGAATATATCCTGTGTCGCGGGGAACTTTACAAACATACATAAACGGACACAAAGTACACCCAGACTCAGAACAACAATTTGTTGATCACACAAAGTGTCGTCCCATTTGGGGTTTGAACCCACAACACTCGGCGCTGTAGAAAACGGCGTGGCGACCGCTTAAACCACTACGCCATCCGTGCAGTCTATTTTTTATATTTTGTAAAAGTGTAAAAACATTATTTTGTACTTTTTTGTAAAAGAAATATAGTTATGAGAAAAACTAGACTAATTTTATTTTTTAACATATTTTTACTATAAAGATGCATAGATAAACAGAAATATATATTCTTTTCTTATTTATGATCAACAATTACAATGAACTTAAGTATTAAAAAAAACCGGCCAAATGCGAGTCGGACACGCGCACGAAGGGTTCCGTACCATTTTCTATAAAAACGGCAAAAAAATCATCAAGAGCATTAGGAATATATCCTGAGTCGCGGGGGACTTTACAAACATACATGAAACGGACACAAAGTACACCCAGACTCAGAACAACAATTTGTGGATCACACAAAGTGTCGTCCCATGTGGGGTTTGAACCCACAACACTTGGCGCTGTAGGAAACGGCGTGGCGACCGCTTAAACCACTACGCCATCCGTGCAGTCATAATTTAATACTTCTTTTTAATTTAATTACTTCTTTTTAAAATGAGTATATATAACTAAATATTCTTTGAATGTTTCAAGCGTCTACCTGTTGCCGTTATTTATATCGAGCAAAAGAGAGCAAAAAAATCATATTAGTTTTATGGGAGCCCCCCTTAAATATTTATTTTACTCGGTTTTTAGTATTTGTTGTTACAGCGGCAACAGAAATACATCTGTGAAAATTTCAACTGTCTAACTATCACGGTTTATGAGATACAGCCTTGTGACAGACGGACAGCGGAGTCTTAGTAATAGGGTCCCGTTTTACCCTTTGGGTACAGAACCCTAAAAAAAAATTAGATCACAGTATTAATAAAGTTGACTAAATATTCTTAGTTTTCGTTAGTTAGATATCTAATCAATATTAGAAAATGACTAAAGGCTAAATTAAATAACGTTTCTTTTATAAAATTACAAGTAGTCAAAGTTACCATTTTTGATGACAGATCAAGCATATATTTTGCGAGCAATCTACAAAAATAGGTTTTTACATTGAAAACACATGTTATATGTTTTACGTTTCTTTTTATAATTGCAGATGTAAAAAGTCTATCTTGTTCCAAACTGTTTACGTTTTGAGTAGACGATCTTCTGGGCACCTGGTCCATCTTCAGTTCACGGGGAATAGGTAAGGCCTTTAAGATCTAGCTACAAGCCAAGCTTGTTCAAACGTCGTTCCAAATGAGGTTTTACAAGATCTTAATCCAATCGTTTCATCCCTGAAGGTTGGTTTGAGACCTGGTGGTTCCTGTATAATGTTCTGCTGTATAGTCCTTTACCTAGATACTGGCGGATAAGCAGACCAGAGAAAACAATTTTTGACGAAATATTTTCTAAACCACCCAATGGAATACCATCATACGATAAATCGACCCGTCGTCGTCGAATCGACGATAAATCGAATCGACCGCGTGGTGACGGATTAAGAATACAGAGTGTCACCACCCTTATTCATCCCGTGGGTGTCGTAAGAGCCGACTAAGGGAGAAAACTACACAGAACAACAGCACTGCAGAGAGAAGGAAAACTTGACACAAACCCTATACCAACCCGTCTGGCCAGCGTGGTATAGTATAGGCCAAAACCTCCTTTCTGAGGAGAGGCCTATGTCCAGCAGTGGACTATTAAAGGCTGTTGATGATGATGATGATGATAAATCTGCGAATAGTGGCAACTCGTTTTCTGTCTTCTAAGACTGTCTTCTTCATTTTGATGCTCGAGGTTACTAAATTCGGTTTTTTAATCAGTTTCAACATCGTTTTCAATGCACATTGCATTGGCACGTCTTAAATATCAATGCAGTAATGTACAGCAATTTAGGTACATTTATTTCATTGTCGGTATTTGAATAATTCACTTCTAACCATGTCACTATATTTTAGGTATGTTTAGACAATTTGACTGCACGGATGGCATAGTGGTTTAAGCGGTCGCCACGCCGCTTCCTGCTATGCTGAGTGTTGTGGGTTCGATCCCCACATACGACGACACTTCGTGTGATCCACAAATTGTCGTTCTGAGTCTGGGTGTTCTTTGTGACCGTTTCATGTATAGTCCCGTACTACTAATATATCCTCGTTGTCTTTTAAAAAAAAAACGGGAAAATACGTAAAGTTGGTCACCATGACTGCAACCAACATATAATTACTTTGTAACTATTGAACACGTGTACGTGTGCAGCGGTCGAGCGCAAGGGGCGTCCTAAAGAACCGCGGAGAAGGTACATAGTCTTACACACATCGCTATCACCATATCGTTTTAGTTGGAGTCGCTGTGACCGACATTAGGTGGTTTAGGGTTAAAGACAACTCCTTAACATTCCCGTCTAGTGTGAGCAGACACAATAGAACGCCGTTAATTTTCTACGATCCTGAAATGCACTCGCTTTTTGACCGACTTCAAAAAGGAGGAGGTTGTACCAAGGTTGTTCCCCTTTTTTTTTTTTTTTTTTCCGTGCGGAAATCCCCTCGGATACCACCTGTCGGTGGCATGTCGGACTCGAACCGACTAAAACCGCACGCCGTCTCGGGTACATTTATAGCCGTAGAACAGGTATACCCTAGAAAGGAAGTCCCTGGTGCAAGGTTGTTCCCCTGTATATATTTTTGTTTACATACATCAGGCCTTTCGTATACGCAGCCGGGTGCTTTTCACGAGGCGATCAAATATTGGCAATAATGGTTAAAAGAGTTATTATGGATTTTTTTTAAATAAAACTAATCGTTTTTTTTCGTTTCCCAGACGGATGAGAAACATAGTTCAAGATAACTAATAGGAAGTTTATATTAAGTTACAAATGTGTTCCTTCTTATATGTGTGTAATAAATATACTGATCCGTACCTTTTTTTTTTTTTTTTTTGTTGACGGGGTGAAAATCCCTTCGGATGTCCTGCTCCTCGGGGACTATGAGCCAGGAGTATGTGGTGATTCCACTAGAAACCACCCCGACGGCCGGCCTCAGGTGTCTTACTCTGGGGAGGACCCGGACCATGTTATTTCAGGTCCACCCCGAATTGACACCATGCCTAATCAGGCCCTATCCCAGGGGAGAACACTTCCCACAACAATCGCGGCATGGCAGCCCGATCGCATCTTAATGCAATCAGGCCGGCCATTCCATGCCCTACCGCAGCAATCAATTTGCCACCAGAGGTCCCCTCTCTGGCGGCCTGCGGCGCCCTCGACGGCTGTTATCGGCGCCGACGTCCTCTACGTTCGGGATCAGCCCTCTCCCGATACTGATCCGTACCTACATACCTCCATGCAATGATGACGGACAATATTGCCGGTTTAGTGAGATTTTAAATTATACGTATTTAGGTCTCCTTACTAAGGAGACCTATGTCCAGCCGTGCACGATTTAAGGCTGTAGATGATTTACGCGCATACGTAAAATAAGCCTTCCTAACAATAAACGTGACTGTCCCTATAAATATATTCATCATCAACAGCCTTTAATAGTCCACTGCTGGACATAAGCCTCTCCTGAAAAAGGAGGTTTTGACCAGACGGGTTGGTAAAGGGTTTGTGTCAAGTTTTCCTTCTCTCTGCAGTGCTGTTGTCCTGCTTAGTTTTTTCCCTTAGCCGGCTCTTACGACACCCACGGGATGAATAGGGGTGGTGACACTCTGTATTTTTAATCCGTCACCACACGGATATTCAGTAACATACAAATATACGTAGGTACTCGTATTTACTATAACGGAGCGTATTAGACTCTTGGCACAGTATAAATAATAGTGCTCATGGTGCCAGAGTAGAACCATACAATGAGTCTGATTTAGTCCGGATTGATCAGCAATTTCAAATACTACGGCATGTAACGTCATGTCTAGCTGTTGTCAAATCATTTAAATAGTGATTAAAAAATAAAAATTGATGGTGAGGACATTGAGGCTAAATTTTATGATGTTAGATTTAATTATTCAGGCGAAATAATTTATTTTACACCTAACATTAACAATAATAATTATATATGATAATAATAATTATTATAATATAATTATTTTAATATATGATTATAATTATCTTATAACAACCTTACACACGGCCGTCCGATCCTGTACTATGGCAAAGAGACTGATAAGCATTTATCAATAGATAAATTACACCCAGACATAGAACAAATGATCGAATGATTGTCCTGAGTAGGAATCGAACCTCGATCTCTGGCTTAGCAGTGAGGGTCACTAACTCTACCCAACAGGCCCGTTATAATCATTCAAAAATATTTCAATCTGTACCAAAGTGCATAGCTATTGTTAGTTTAAACATATCTGTTAAAATTATTAACAGATCTTTTTCGTAAAAAGACGCGGTGCCGGGTTGTAAGCAGGGTGTGTGGGCAGGTGCGGTGGGGTACTTGCAGCGTTGAACTTGACCTCTCTGTCTACAATCAGAATATAAATAATTAAAAGTGTATCTGCGACCGTCAGACGCTCGCTTTGAATTTGAAGTGCCCGAGCGCCGAATGACTTACATGACATTTACGAGTCGCATTGTTCATTGATTTGCAATAAAGGGCGTGTTATCACTGTGTTGTATCGTTTAAAAAATAAAATAAAAACTTACTTAACATAATTTGCTAATGGCACCCACGTCATCTAATTGAACATGAACTTTGTCGTTGAACAATTTTATCTTAATCTTATCTTTTTTATCTTATTTAATTTTAAGGTGGTAAGGGTCACAGAGGTTAGGGATTTAGGGGTTTGTGTTAATACTGAGCTAAGATTTCGTGATCACATAGTGAAATGCTGTAAAAAAGCTTATAGGAATTTGGGTTTTGTTTTACGAACAGTAAAGGACTTTAGAAACCTAAATACAATTATAGCATTGTGTAACGCGTTGGTAAGAAGTCAGCTAGAGAGTAGGTAACGCAGTCATCTGGGCCTCACATGAAGCTAAATATAGCCTCATGTTGGAGCGAGTTCAAAATAAATTTGTTAGGTTTTTGTACTTCAGATACTATGGAGTATACCCATTGTATCCATTAATGTATCCCACGTTATTTATTCTGGGTATGGTGGGATACAATGAACTGAGGGTCAGAAGGGACTCACACTCGTCTCGTACCTGTTTAGGGTACTTAGGGGTGGGATACATAATGAAGACGTGTTAGGACGAGTCAGCATATGTGTTCCGGACAGATACGTGTGGCGGCGCCGCCGGCCGCCGCTGCTGGCTGTCCCGTGCGAGCGCACCAACCTGCAGAGATAAGCACCGCTGACGCGCGCACTACGTGCTCTGAATATAATTGCGGATGAAATAGATTTATTTTATTGCTCACTGAGTGAATTCACAATAACAGCATTAAGAATTATTTCTTATAATCAATAAGTAGATGGTATTGCTATTGCATTGGGCTAAACCTGTAATAATAGTTGTTTTTAAAGGAAATAAATAAATAATCTTGTCTAGGCTGTACCCATCCCGTTGTTTTGCACAGCAATTGTCAAGTTGTCTCTGCGTGCTTTAAGTTAGTTAATAGTGTGTATTAGCAATCGTTTGATTTTATATATGATATTTACCCGACAATTATAAAAAAAATGAGAGTTTCAGAAGAACAGAAGGTGAGAGCGGAACACGTGTGAACGACGATGCGCCATTTTTATTGTAACGAGGACAGACAGTGACTGACTACTACTCTACTCACCAGTGGGTGACGACGAGTAGAGTAGTAGTCTCGCAGCAAACAATAAGTAAAACTCCAACACCCATAGTGATCTGTTAGAATTTCCATACTAGTACATCTAATTGAAATAATGTGCATAAATCGGCAAATGTATGGTGAACAAGATGGAACTACTATCGTTAGAACATAGTTGAAAAGCACCTTAATAATTTCATTAGGTATGTATGCACGATTGCGAACGATATTTGGACATCATGTTCCTATAACAATACTCGTATATCGGATGTTTGCTGCGAGAATGCAAACTCATCGAACCGTCGACGCGACGTGTCGATATTCGAACCAAAAAAGTAGTTACTCGTACTTAAACAAAGATAAAAGGACGCCTTATGTTACACTGTAAACATTTTTCATATTTTTACTAAGTATAACCCTTTTCTTTTGTTTTCGGAACTCATCATGAGATGACCACGATGACCAAATAAATGTTCTTATCACTTATCTCATTTTAGTTAATGACGACGACATAACCTTTATTTTATTATTGATGATGATATGAATGCCTTTTACGGCAGTTGTGAGATCGAGAGTTGATTAGAACTGAATTGTGACCGAACTTTAATCACGAGAATTGGCCTTTTGAATTCATCAATGGTATTCTGTAGGTATCAATCAATCGGCCTAATGCAGTCTTGTTCTAACCTAATAGCCATTGGTCCTTCAGCTTCCACATGCGTCTGTAGGAACACTAGTACTTGTGACTAATCCTTGATTTAGTAAAGAAATGTGTAAGTTGATTACAAAATATTTTCTTTTATTAGGTAAAATTAAAACTTTTCCTGATAGCGCTCAAACTGGAATTACTAGTTATAATAAATCTTAAGGATTTATAGCAATCAGCTTATTGATCAAACGTTAAAAAAAATGGTTTAATTGAAAACAATACTATTTATACTGCAAGATCTAAGTAAGAATACTTTACAATAGAATTATTCAAATATATCTACTACAAGGCCATGGTTTGTTTACCAACCCAGCTTCTCGAAAACGGTTTGCTTTGTCGCAAGTTCCTTCTACCCCTGGGGGTTGAATATGGGCAACATTTAGGGGTTGAACATGGACTAAACCGTTCCAAATACGCACTCTCTGGTAGACAGCGATAACTTCGACTCAGTTTGACAGCATACGAGCACGAGCGACTGCTCAGCGCGCATTCGGCTCTTTTGGAAACCCAATGTCATTGTAATTGTAGCCTGGCTAGGCCAGTTCTATACGCCCCGTTTCGTTGTCAAGTTAAAATTTGTACTCGTTCTTGTTTTACAATCCCAGATGAAAGTAGATTTATTAGGAATTTCATAAATCAAACCCATGCCTTTGTTTTGCCTTCCAAATTATTAAATTTGGCGACCGAATGGCGTAGTGGTTTGTGTAACGACTGCTATTCGCTTTCTGATCAGCGCATTCGCTTCGCTCAAGTGAAACGTTTGTGTGCATGAACAATTTAATGTATGATTTGGTAAAAAAAAAGTTGAGACTAGACGGCATTGTGTGAATGTGGTAGAATAAAAAAAATACCCAAGGATATGAACACGTTTTCGAACATACGATTTATTTTCCTACAGCTATATAATATTATTAATAAAGTTTACTTTGTACCAGTTTACTTTACTTATTACTAAAACTTTATATCATACAGTTTGTATGTTTCACTTAATGTAGGTACCTGAAAGCTGGTCCTGGAAGTCCTGCAATTTATATTATCTATATTCTCCTACGGATATAAAATTCTCAAGATTCACAATGAGATTTAAATTAGTGAAACACAGGACAATGGTTATAATATAAAACATCTAACTCTAACATACTTACATAGCAATTAAAGACGTAATGCTTATAAAAACAAAGTGCTTTTAAAAAAAACAAAAACAATGTTCTACCTGTCAAATTTAAAATAATATTAAAAAAACTATTTCACAAAACTATGTGTTAGTACAGAAGTAAACGTATTACGACTGTTTTATTAAGATACCAGTATCGAGCAGATAAAATAGGTTAATCCATTCCTTGCCATATTTGATAAAATAACACCTTAATACAATCTGGAATACCAAATAAATAAATATATCAGTGTTACTGCCTTTAATAAATATTTTCGGCCGCTCGTTTAAACTCTAGGGTATGGGTATGTTTGCTCAAATCGATGTCAAATAACTTAATAACCTCAAAACTATGCTTTTTAATGCTTGTTCAATTTATACTGTCTACGAAATAAAACAAGACATTTAAATAAGTCAATATTCGACCGCACGGTGAATCTTTAGTGATAACAACTTGATACACGCTTCCATCTGATCAGAAATTAGGCTTGTATTTTTCTAAATACATACCTATTATAGATAAACCACGCTTAACCACAGAACAAATGAACGTGCTCATTTCACTTTTGTTTATTCTAAGTGGGACGCGAACCCACGACCTCCTGCATAGCATTCAAGATCATCAACCAACAGGCCAATCCACAGCCTAGAAATTCAACATAAGATTGATTTGGGTCTAAGTTTAAACTGTGGCCCCTTACTACATTCACCGCTACTATTCCAGACAATAACTTATCATTATTACTTAGGAAATAGGAAAACTTGTTTGCTTTGTAATTTCTCTTATCGTAACACACAGCACATAACAACTGGCCAACAACAACAAGTCTCATTAAAATTGAGATAAGCAAATGCCAAATATCAAGTATTCAACTCGGGGAATCCCCTTGATCGTCACGTGGTACGATAAATTTGTACATAGCCTATCGAAGACAAGTTGGTCTAACTTGGTCGGTCGGGTGGGGAATCCCCCGTAGATCATAACAAAACAGGCTACCAGTTCTGAAAATAGAACCGAGAGACTTAATTTGTTGTAAAATAGCAACAACGTAAGTACAAGACAATGATCCGTAACAATTTGCAGCCTTTAATATTTTTTTCAAGAAGCCGTGAGCGATGAGACCGCCAATTGTTATGCCTATATATTTGTGAATACTCCTCATCTTTTTTTTATTTGTTAAATGTGTGCAATGAAGATACTTGAAACTTGTTGACGGAGTCATCAGAATAACCCTCGTGTCTTCATATCATTGCAGGCATCATTGCATGTATGGATGTATGTATGTATGTTTTTATATTTATAGTTTTATATAGTTCGTATAAATTATATTTATATCTATATATGGAGCTGCTACATTGCTGATCCATTAATATCGTAAGTATTGTGAATGTACTAACAATATCACATTTAAATTTTATCTGTTCTACATAAACATTTTTTTAAAGACAAAGCCCGCATTAGGAATATTTATCCTGTGTCGCGGGGGACTTTACAAACATACATGAAACGGACACAAAGAACACCCAGACTCAGAACAACAATTTGTGGATTACACAAAGTGTTGTCCCATGTGGGGTTTGAACCCACAACACTCGGCGTAGTAGGAAGCGGCGTGGCGACCACTTAAACCACTACGCCATCCGTGCAGTCAATAATTATGAGAAATGAAAAAAAAGTAATTTTATTCATTTCTTGTCTGTACTGATCATCAGTTGGAGCACGGGCCCTATATAGTCTCCGTGCTTCACCCAGGTAGAGAAGCTATGTGAAGCACGGATCAAATAAACTATCGAAGCGTAACGTACCTTTTTCTGTAACGTGCATGTGTAGCATGTAATGCGATGTGGCGATTGGCTATACAATATTTTTAATTGTCTGTAATCCTTTTGTACTAATTATTTCTACAAAAAATAATTTCGATGTTTCACATCTACCAGACGAACGGCGACGCAGTGAAACACGGCTTACTTATTTTATGGAAATGTGACTTCTTACTGTGTGTGTTAGAAATATTAGCTTTCTGCACTTACTCTCTACTTTATAATAAATTATTAATAATATGAAGTATTCCAGATGCTTTTGTACGCCATATTGGTTTAAAAAGGGATACTTACAAGGAATTTTCCTTACATATAAATTTTTTCTTCTTCATTCTAATAATGTATTAAAGGTAGTATTAGCATGAATATCCAACACAAATTACCTATTACTACATAGTATGGTACAAATAAAGTTTGCCTGTAAGGAGTTGCGATGAGGGCGTACATTGCACTGTTTTTTAATGTATTTTATCGTGGATTACATATATTAATTTTAATAGATAGGTACTCTTAAATGCACGCAGCTAGATAGAATATAATTTATGACGTTCATGACGGTCGAAATACGCAGATTACGCTGATTCCTATGTGATCCGAAAATGAATGTATTGGAGCTTACCGCTTCTACGTACATCAATTTCTGTATTTTTTCTGTGATTCGTCGTCTCACTGAAGCTTAATAGAAACTTAGTGTTAAAAAGTACAAGATCTCTTTCTAACTAGTTAAGACACAAACACTCGCATCTAAACAGCAGCATAGGTAAAAGCATCGGATTTATGATTGACTTCCGCGGATTCGATTCCCACGTAATGCGCTACCAACGTGATGTTTACTCGGAGAGGTTAACAAGAGAACTAATAACTTGTCTCCTATGTCAGTTCTAAGTAGAAGAAAGTTTTTTTAAATAATAATTTATTATATATTTATTAACCACATCAATGACTCAGTCACTATAGTTATTATTCAGTTAAGTTATAACGTCATGTGGACCTAATCTTAATGCAGAATAAATTATAACATTTAAATGCAAAAACAACTATGGATTTTAATAAGGAAATATGTAATTATAATAACTAAAAATATGAACTACATGCAGCGTTAAAAAATCCTCCGCATCATCGCCTACTGGTAGCGTAGGAGGCTGGCAGCATAGCCACTTGCTAATTCTATGTGCATTTGACGAGATGTGTCTATCAGTTGCTTAGCTGGTTCTTTATAAATGCTCGGACAGAAACTATAGTGTCTTGATTCAAAACAGCTCATAAAAAAGTTTGCCGATTTTATGTATTTCACGGCGTTTGAAGCTTTCTACGGATGCATCAGCAGCGCCGCACCGGCATAACCAGCTGTGCTTGGAAGGTGTAATGAAGCAAGGTTGTATCTTCCG